GAAGCAGCCATAAAATATACAATCAAGGAAAAACAGTGAGCCAGTTCTTCATAAATGGATGAAGATAAAGTGACAGCTGTAATGGAGATGCAAAAAAAAAACAGAATAAGATAAAGAAGGGATAATTCATCTGCAGAATGATCACATTATCCACACATAATGGGCAGTGCTGTGGATTTGCAGTCAAAGGAACACTGATCTAGAGATTCATCTTGGGCATAGGTGCACAATGACTGGTATTGCATTGGCAGACTATTCTACACATTCCACAGCAATGGAACTCAACGGCATAAATTGTCCAGTCTCTAGATAATTGGAGATGGGACGTACAGAGGGAGATGTACGACCTTGTGGAGGTCCTGACACACAGACGTGGGGAAAGTGCCTAGCAAGTTTAAACTTCCAACGGACCGACATCTGCTGCTTGGGATACCCACAAATGTCTCCAACCCTGAGTTCAAGGTGGAAATACAAGGCCAGACACAAGGAACTTGTCTGGATTTTTAACCAAGAAATGTTAGTCAGTTTAATACCTTACCTAATTCAATAGCTAGCCAAAGTAGCTCAAATTAGCCCCACATTTGATCTCTCGAATCACATCCTGATTATCCCTGGACCACTTGCAATATCCTGACCTGACCCAACTAGCCTTCAAGCTAATCTGATTTACACCTGGGCCAATTAACTACCCTCCCTAACACCAAAATATTCTTCCCATTTATCCCATATCTGACTACACTCCTACCACTTGATTATTTCCCCAGCCGTACTCAATTACTCACCATGGCAACCCACCAGCTACCTACAGACCACCCTATACCTCCTGATTAGCCCTCCCTTGACCTCACCTAACTGCCCCGCACTGACCATCAACTAGCCCCAAGCAGCATCATCCCTACCCAAACACCCAACATCTCACCTGACCAGACCCAATTAAACCCCCCAATGCAATCCAACTGGTCCTCGGTCTGACCAAGGACTACCCTAGATCACCTGACCAGTTGCCTCTCGATCACCTGAGAAGACCCAACAACACCCTATCTGCCTGACATCACAGTATCTGCCCAACTACCCTATATATGTATATATTAATTCACTTTGTTTACCTTCTGACCTGACCAAAGACTTCTCCCAACTCCCGCATCTCACTGGGTTTACCATGGAGAAGGAATGCTGCCCACTTCTTTTTTTATCTGGGATTGGGAATAGAAAGTGGGTGGTATTCTTCAGTGGCAGAAAGCTGTTTGGGGAGAGGCAATGTGACCAGGGCCATTCTGTCCATTTTGGAATAGAAATTCATCCCAGTGGCTCAATGTGGTCAGTGACACCTCTGTTACTTGTGGAGATGGGAAAAGGGGTTCCAACATTAAAGGGTTCCTTGTTCCTGTAGCAATGATTTTAAGAGTAATAGTACTGTTTTTGTTACTAAAATGAGTTTACTCTTACCCCTTAAGTACAATACCATGTTAACAGCCTCATTAAAGTAATTCAGTGTATGCTAATTCTGTAACAATGCCGTATATATCCAATTGCAAAACAGAACAATTATTCCAATCCCCGCTGTTATGGCACAGAATGAATAAAATTTACAGGCCTTACCCATTATAGCCATATTTTGCTGTGCAAAAGTAACTCTTCATTTGGTTGATTATGGGTCAGTAAATGCATTACCCAGGATAGTGTTAGGTCATACAGGTCAGCATTACGGTAGGGGGCTCTATAATTCTCCTCAGGGTGCTGTATTTGGAGAGGGTGAAAAAATCTACCAAGATTTTCATACCTGTCATTGGAAAACTTGTTGGAGTCCATTATTAAGGAACAAACAGTAGCGCAGTTAGAAAAGCTGATCACAACTAAACAGAGTCAGTATAGTTTTTGTAAACAAGTTAGACCTTCATTTGTTACAGAAGAATAAGGATGATCTTATTGAAATATACAAGACCCTGAGAGGGGTTGGTAGGGTAGATGTTAAGATGTTTCCCGTAGTCGGGGCATTTTGAACTAGGAGACATACCACGGAGTAATGGACACATTTAAAAGTGGGTTGTGAAGAAATTTCTTCTTTCAGAGGGTAGTGAATATCTGAAATTGTCTACCCCAGAGTGTCGTGGAGGCTAGATCACTGCAAGCATTTAAAGAGGATGTAGATGCATTTCTGAAATATCAAGGAGTTGAGAGCAATGAGGAGTTGAGAGCAATGAGGAGTTGGCATGGAAGAGGAGTTGAAGCCTGGTGCAGATCAGCCATCATCTTATTGAATAGTGGGGCAGGCTTGAAAGGCTGAATGGCCTTCTCCCCCTGCTTGTATTTTCTTGTGAAGTACTCATGCAAATTGTCAAATCAGATAGGGTATTAGAGGGTGCCTGCAGCTAACGAGACTGTACCCAACATCTTTAGATAAGGTAGAATTGGTGAAAGAAACAGTATCTCCTAGACTTCACTATAACTATTGTTCCATCTGCTACCTGGCTAATGAATTGCATCAATTTAGCATTATCTCTTTTATTCTTGTACCAAATTAAGAAAATTTTTCTTTTACAGTCTTGTCAATTGTTCCTTTCAATTTTAAAGATTTTTGCATGTGAATTCCATCCATTCCTCTACTCAATGTAGAGACCTTCTGTCCTCTATTCTTCCTTCAAAAACTGAATCACTTAACATTTATCCACATTAACTTTAGCTGATATCTATCTGCCCAATCTATTATCCTGTCTACATCCAACTGAAATCACTTAGTTGCCTTGGTAATTTTGATATTACACCCTATAGCCAAGCCCAGAGTTATAATGATGGAAATTGAGCAGTACCGAGGAAGTGTTTGAGGTTGCAATGATGACAAAACTACCAGCAGTGGTAGTCAATGTTTAAAACTGACAGCAATTTTTGGTGGGCTACAGACACACAGTTAAACATTAAAAGCTGCATAGAGTGTGCTGTTGCAGTCATCACAAATGCATTCAACACAAAATCAGTGTGTTGGTGTAAACTTCAACTTCCAATGAACTGTTTCAATAGTAAACTCATTGAAATTGACAATGTCGAATGAGGTGTAAACCAAGATTTTAATTGGCACTTTAAATCATAATTACTCCTGAACAAGCTCTTTGGCAGTGAAAAGTTAATTTCATAAGTTCCATTTCCTTTATTTAAAAAAACTCATAGATTTTTAAAATAATTTATTTTCTTTTTATTAACGTTGATATTTCAGGATTTACTTTAATTGCATGTGAATGTTCCTATCTTTATTTTGCTGTCAATGAAAGCCGAATTATAATTTGTGACTTTTAATTTCCTCATCTTGTTGTCAGTCAGAATTCTTCAACCTAGATGGCTTTTCAGCCTCTTTGGTGATTTCAAGGACTGAGGAAACAACAAATTCTCTATTGATGTCAAGTTGAAAGCTGCATCAGATTAGGGGAAATTGACAGTGCAGAACCTACTAAATTATTTTAGGCAACTTTCTTCAAAGTCATGAGTGAGTGCCACCCCTTTGTGCTAACCACAAAATGCTTTCTGCTGTTGTATGCCAAATTTTAGGAACATTTCAAAGGCAAAAGAGATTATTCTAGCATCAAGATATTTCAGTTTTGAGGAGAAACTGAAGAAAGTGAGCAATTTTTAGTTACTGCATTGAAAATTAGGAGGAGGTCTAATGGAGGTTTGATTTGGTAAGTAAGGAAAATGTGAATTCACTGGTTGTTAGACTTATAACATGGGCTCATAACTTTAAAAATCATTGCGAAAGGTCAGGAGAACTTTTTTTAAATGCAGGTGCAGTTAACTAAACAGCCCGACGTTCCATAAATTCTACCTATGTAACCCTGTTTGCATAGTCATGTGTATCTGGATCCGTATCAGTTGCGCTTTTCCTGTTTATACTCCTTTTGTGTATTTGTATTGGTTCTTGTCATTAAACTTATTTTTCATTCTGAATTATTTTGTTCTGAGAATGTAGGAGGTATGGTTAGTGAGTTAATGGATGACACCAAGATTGGTGGTATAGTGGACAGTGAGGAAAGTTATCTGAGAATGCAGCAAGATCTTGATCAACTGGACCAAGTGGGCTGAGGAATGGCAGATAGAGCTTAATTCAGATAAACGTAAGACGTTGTATTTTGGTGGGTCAAACCAGGGTAGGAGTTACACAGTCAATGTCAGGGCCCAGGGGAGTGTTTTGGAACAAAGAGATCTAGGGGTAAACATTCATATCTCCTTGAAAGTGGAGTGACAGGTAGACATGCTAGTGAAAAAGGCTTTCAGCATGCTTGTTTTCATCAGTCAGAGTACTGAGTATAGGAGTTGGGACATCCTGTTGCAGCTGTACAAGATGTTGATGAGGCCACACTTGGACTACTGCATGCAGTTCTGATCACCTTACTATAGAAAGGATATTAAACTAGAAAGAGTGCAGAAAAGATTTACTAGGATGTCACTGGGGGGCACAGTGGTTAGTACTGCTGCCTCACAGCACCAGGGACATGGGTTCAATTCCAGCCTTGGGCAACTGTCTGTGTGGAGTTTGCATGTTCTCCTTGTGTTTGCGTGGGTTTCCTCTAGGCGCTTCAGTTTCCTCCCACAATCCAAAATGTGCAGGTCAGGCGGATTGACCATGGTGAATGCAGGTTTACAGGGATAGGGTAGTGGGTGGGGCTGAGTGGGCTGCTCTTCAGAGGGTTGGTGTGGACTCAACAGGCTGAATGGCCTGCTTCCACACTGTAGGGATTCTATACATGGACTGGAAGGGTTGCGTTATAAGGAAAAGTTGCATACGCTGCGACATTTTCCCTGGAGCATAAGAGATTGAGGGGTGACCTTACAGAAATCTATAAAATCACAAGAGGCACAGATAAGGTGGATAGCCAACAGCTTTTCTCCATGGTAGGGGAGTCTAAAACTAGAGGGAATAGGTTTAAAGTGAGAGGGGAGAGATACAAAAAGGTCCAAAAGGGAGAATTCTTTTCCACACAGAGGGTGGCGAATGTCTTGAACAGGCTGCCAGAGGTAATGGTGGAAGCGAGTACATTTTTGCCATTTAAGAAAGATTTAAACAGGTTCATGGATGGGATTGGTATGGAGGGTATGGACCAAACTCAGGCAAATGGGACTACTTTAACTGTGAAAACTGGGCAGCATGGGCAAATTGGGCCAAAGGACCTGTTTCCATGCTGTAGACCTCTAGGACTCTAGTTACAGGTTTACCCTTTTGTCTTTCTAGGAATGTAAAATATTAAAAAAGGGGAGATTAAATGTCCCAATGTGTTTGTAAGCCTTCATGTGGAGGTATCTGTTCTAACTGCGTCTCCCTGTTCTTCCCCTGTAGCATTTTTTAACCCTGCTTTGTTTCTGTTTGAAGGAGGATAACAGTAGGAATGGAAGCTCAGTTTGTATTATTCACATCAGTGGAGCTTCTTCACGTTGATCTGTATTAGTGCGCATTTTATCTTTGTGTTGGGGTAAGTATCTCTAACTGGAATTGTGTGGATTTTACACATTCAGGGGATAAATCTAAGAGGGAATGGAGAGAGATGGGGAGAGAGAAAGAGAGAGACAGAAGGGAAGAGAAAAAAGGGAGGGAGGATGAGGAAAACAGAAGGGGAGAAAGGAGGAGAGAAGAGAGAAGCAAAGGAAGAGATTGATTAGAAATGATAAAAAACCTGATTACAGCAGAAGGTCAGCTGGATTCAGAGTCGATCAGTAAGTTGATGAAACCATGGCCTGTTAAGGCGACGTTCATTCTTATAATGTTTCTCAAAGAATAATAACCAATAAACAATAGAGGAGAAACAGCAGCACGAGTCCTGATGTTGTTCTTCAGCTTACAGTGATGCCAAAACAAAAAGTCCGGACTGGAGGGTGGAACTGAAATCTGAGTAATGATCTCGGTGGCTACGAACATCACCTCGTGATAGATGTTTGACAAAACAAAATGGAAATGCCCAGTAATGATGTCTTGCTGTCTCTCCGTTCCACAAGAGTGCTGCATGATGATGGTGGAACAAAAGCCCAGCTTTAGTTTCAATCAGGATGATTCTGTTGATTTGGAGCATTAACTGAGATACACAGCCAGAACAATGATGATAACCAACAGTACTATTGCAATGCAAATTCCTATAAAGATCTTTTTCTGTGGGAAGGGAAGAAAACAACCAGATGAAGCTCAGTATGCAAGAATACAGCACAAGAAAACTGCAGCAGAAAACAAAACATACAGAACGTGACAGAGTCCGAGCCAAGCACTTGCTGTCTCTCAAATGCTATGGAGTAATACATACCCAATGTATAATATAGCCCTCAATATTTCCCACTCTATGGGTGGAATGATGTTGAGGTCTCAGGGGTGTTATCTGGTGAAGAATCCCGAGTAAGGAATGTGGGGAGGGGGCATTTCACCACGTGGGGTTTGTGGTCAGAGTGGGTGGGGGTGGGTCAGCAATATGGGTAGGGGTATGTTTCTCAACAGGCCTGTCCTTCAGAATGTCCAGCCTACCCTGCCTGCACAGTTTCAGTTACTGTACACACCGACACAGTGGGAGGCCCATCTGCAGTTGGATTAGTCCCAATGGCAGTGAGCTGAGTCCCTTAAGTGGTCTTTCATGCAATGTGGTCATCACTGGGTAGTCAGCATTCACTGCCCATCCCCAACTGCCCTTGAATTGCGTGGCTCACTAGACCATGACCATTTCTGAGGGTAATTAATTAAGAGTCAACCACATTGCTGCAGGTCTAGAGCCACATGTAGGCCAGACCAATTAAGGGTGACAGATTTCCTTCCCTGAACTATAATCATGGTCATGGTCACCTATAATAAGACCAGCTTTCAACCTCCATTAAGTGCCAGGGTGACATTTGAACCCAAGTCCCCACAGCATTAGCCTGGGCCTCCGGATACTAGTGTAGTGACATTAGCAATACGTCACTGTCACCCCTTTGTTAGTTCATCTGTCAGTACTATGAATAATGGGGAGCTTTGGAACAGGACCATATAATAGTGCCAAGCACTTTGGTCCACATACAACAACTTCGGAAACATCTCTCGTAGAAATCATCCTACAGCGTTCTTAAGGAAGCCATTGCTTCTTCCATGGAGATTCAGACTAATATAGAAGTCTTTAACCCCTAGGTTGGATAAAGCTGTCTGTTATTGTGTGGATGGATTTGCCACTCAGTTGCAGCCAAATATTATTCACTGCTTTACTGCTTTCCATAAAACCCTTCCCTCGCCTTTCCCTCCGATCAGTGCTTGGTACCAGAGGAACAACCAGAGAATGCAATATGAGTGCTCTCCCCTCACCTACGTCTGTGGCGTAGAACAATGTAGGGTCAGGTTGTCTACACATGGTACATATCAGGACATGGCTGTTTTCAGACTAGGGCCACCTCTAACCCTTTCTGACACAGTTACCAACACTCAAACAGCATGTAGGAGAAACAATGATTAATCTAGAGTTGAAACAATCACTGGACTTTGAAAAATCAATAGAATTCCAGTGCACTATCATGTTGGCACCAGTTGTCAATGGCAGAATGACAAAATTACTAGTTCCAAAGAACAACAAGCTGTGCATTGCTCGAAACATATCTGTGCACAATGTTTGGCTGTTACAGATGTGCACAGTGGCAAGTATGAAATCACATTATTACAGACGTGAAGGGAGCCGGTGATACCAGTCACTGGTGGATTAGGTAGAAGTGGGCTGCAGACTGGTTTGAAGCATGGCAGTTCTGACAGCTGACAAAAAATTAACCTTCCTCAGGCATTTCTTGTCACTTAAAAACAGGTAGGACTGATTCCGCAAGGGTGCTCTGATGGGTGGGTATTGGTATCTGGATACCATATTCCCATAGAACCCTGAAACTGTTCCTCTTCCTGTTACAAGAAGCAAAGATGGAATGGAAATCCTGAGGGAAAAACCCACTCTTTGTTGTCTTAAAAGTAAAGAGGGAAGTGAAGGAAAATGCCAACTAATCAAAAATGAAAAAATAGGAAGCAAATGCAAAAGTAAAATATGCTTCACCTGCAACAATAACCAGGCAGGCTTGTCTCTACAAACCAAATTTCCCTTCAGCATTTCAAAAAAAAAAATGTGCTGTGATGAAAACTCATGAAAATGAGAAATAGGATGGCATCATATCATTACTTCCTTGTTAATATGCATCTAGCAGGAATAAAGTGGCTGGGAATTGGCGTTATCAATCTCTGCTCTATTTCTCTCCCTGTCACATCCATCATGAAATTACTGCAGAGCAAAATTAAGGGGGTGGATGGTTTGGGGAACACAATGGGAAATATAGGCTATTAAGAAGTTATACATCAGTATTGCACATTTCAATTTGAGCGATCACAGTCCGTATGATTCTTGTGCTGTTACTGAATATTCCAGGGTTGGTTTGTGGCTTTTACAGAACTGATCAAATCAATGGAACTGCATCCAGGACTCTAGGTGAGATCAACTCCAATTACAGCAATAGTGTAACCTCTTTACATTTGTACACAGGTTCTCTGCTAATGTAAGGCTGAGCAGAATTCTGCACCCTCTAACTGGAATCATGTTTACTCCATGATCCATCACTCCTTAGTTTACCCATTAATTGTCAGTGTAAAACCTCACCAAAAGCTTTGTGAAAATCCAAATTTATAATGCCATTTGTTGTCCCATCCACTAGGAAGGTACTGGTATGGTCTGTGAAAAACTCTAGCATGGAGGTGAATGTTTTTTCAACTCATTCACAGGATGTGGGTGTATTCATTGTCCATCCCTAACTGGCCACAGGGCAGGTGAGTCAATCATATTGCTGTGGGTCTGCAATCATATGTAGGCCAGATCAGGTAAGGACGTCAGATTTCCTACTCTAAAGGGCATTAGTCAACTGGATGGGTTTTTTCCTGTCATTGACAATGGTTTCATAGTCATTTATTAGACTTTTTTAAAATTGAATTCTAGTTCCACTATCTGCCATGGTGAGAGTCAAACCCAGGTCTCCAGGACATTAAGAAAGCAAGAACTGCAGATGCTGGAGTCAGTTAACACAGTGTGAAGCTGGAGGAACACAGCAGGTAGGGCAGCATTAGAGGAACAGGAAAGCTGACGTTTTGGGTCGGGACCCTTCTTCAGAAAAGAGAGTCTGAAGAAGGGTCCCAACCCAAAACATCAGCTTTCCTGCTCCTCTGATGCTGCCTGGCCTGCTGCGTTCCTCCAGTTTCACACTTTGTTATCTCCAGAACATTACCTGGGTTTGTTGATTAATAGTCTAGTGATAATATCATGAGTCCATCGCCTCCCTTATGTGACCTCTTTTAGCATTCTCCAATTAAATGGTAACAGTTTTCCAAGTGTTAACCTGTTGAAACTTCAAAATGCTTTTCAAGGCCTTTTCTATGATGGACATAAAATTGTTATTTCAAGAAGGAAACTATAAACCTGCAAAGTTATGTAAACCACTTTCTAATCCTATGGAACCACTCATTAAAGATGGTTGAGACTTCACCCCTTACTACTCCTTGAAACCCTTGCGCTCAAAGTGTCAGGTGCAGTAACATTGTCTAAGCACTTTCTATCTTTTTAATGACCACAGCCATCAGGATTGACATATTGTCTCGCTCCTTTATCTTTGTCCCTGGAAACGTGATTATCAGACTCCAGTGAATTCTGCTTATCTCCTTGAGTAAAGATGGATTTGTTTAATTGCAGAACCATCATTTCACCATCATTTAAGGTAAACTGATATATTTGCAGTCATTGTTTAATGAGTACACAGTTATAAATCTTGCATTGTCACTTTTGATGTCTTCCCTATACATTTAGTCTTCTTCACTTCTCCGATTATTTTACTTGCTTTTGTTTGTAATGGTATTTTACTACAACCTTCCATCTACTATTTTACTTCTAATTTATTCTTACCCTTAATTATCTTTAGATACCTATTGAATATCGTCTTCTGTTGGTATACATTTCACATACTTCCTCAATATTTTCCATTCATGATCTCCCATGTAAGAAGCTGTATAATCATGAACAATTTGAAACAGCTCTAGTTGATATTTGTAATAGTAACACAGTACAAAAATCATCTGTTTATTATCTAAAACATTTAACAATCTTCATTAAACTTTGTTAAAAGGATTTGTATACAATACAAGTCAGCTTAAGAGCTTCTAGTTCTAAAATTTGGGATTACAACCTCATGAGTAAGATTGTGTTTGTGATACTAACCATATTCACTGACTCCTACCATGCCCTTATCTATCGACTTTCGTTGCTAGTAAAAATGAGGGGATCAAATTTTTGCTCATTCATGTCAGTAAGATCAGTGCAATCCAGACAGAATCAGCTGAACTGCACAAACGAACTTTAAACACTAGTGGATCATATTCCAAACTATTTACATTTGGGCTATTTATGAACTTTGCTTCTGAGATTTGACTTTTGATTTGCCTGCATCAGGCAAACTGACCCTGCTTCCCAGTTTGGAAATGTAACATTCTGAAGATTGTGATATGACATGGATAACATGTTTAATCAACACAAAGTACACAATTCAATAAGGAACTGATTAGCACACACCAACAAAACTATGAAACAGCTCAGTATAGTGCTTAGTTGTTATTTTCTATGATTTTAAATCTGGTTGTTCACAGGTGGAAAACTGGAACATTTACTAATTTGCTTATTTTTGGTGATGAACCCATTTTAAAGCTTTATTAACAAAATCAGAGCAGGTTATCACTGTTAAATATATCAAGGAGATTTTGAAATTTAAAATTTGCATTCTATTACCTGCGTGCTTGCACCAGTCATGGAAGATTTTACATTAATGCAACTTAAATTTAGCAGAAACTTCAATGGAAATAGTTAAAGAACAGCTTGTATGCTATTTCCATGACACACAATTAAGGTTCTAACATTTTTGGAATACAACAGCATCTGTCTTTAACTCTAACACAGGTCAGGTCGTAAGGCTTGTATTTGAATATTGTGGATTTTCAAATAACAAGATTGCACTCCATTGTGTTCCTGCAATCTCTCTCAGTTTAGCAGTCATAAACAACAAGCTGAACTCAGAAATAAGAAGTCTGATTGGAGGTCAGGAAATAACAAGTTCCCTACAGGTCCTGACAAATTTAAT